ACACATTACTCCAATGTGTGTGGTGATGGTACAAACCTACGGCAAAATCATATAAAACTGGAGCACATACAATTATGTACAGTACATAATACTTGATAATGATAATAAAAGACTATTATTGGTTTATGTATTTACAATATTATGCTTTTTATTATTATTTTAGAGTGTACTCCTACTTGTTAAAAAGAAATCAACCATAAAACTGCCTCAGGCAGGTCCTTCGGGAGGCATTCTAGAAGAAAACATTGTTATCATAGAGGATGACAGCTCCATGTGTGTTGCACTCCTGAGGATCTTCCAGGATATGGAGGTGGGTGACAGTGATGATTCTGACCCAGTGTAGGCTAGGCTAATTAATGTGTGTGTTTGTGTCTTGATTTTTTAACAAAAAAAGTTTCAAAAGTAAAAAAATAAAATAAAATAAAAAAATAACAGAAACATAAGTTTTAAAATAGAAAAAAGCTTATAGAGTGAGAATGTAAAGAATGAAAATATTTTTGAACACTTGTACAAAGTGTTTATGTTTTAAGCTAGTGTTATTACAAAAGAATCAGAAGTTTTAAAAATTTAAAATTTATGAAATAAAAAAGTTACAGTAAATTGAGGTCAACCCACCATTAGAAAATATTTTGATAAATTTAATGTAGCCCTAAGTATACATGTTTATACAATCTACAGTAGCATACAATAATTTCTAGCCCTTCACATTCACTCACTGTTCACTCACAACTCACTCAGAGTAACTTCCAGTCCTACAACCTCCATTCACGTATACATGCCTAACCAGGTATACCAATTGTTTAAAATCTTTTATATGGTATTTTTACTACTCTTCTTCTGTTTAAATACACAAATACCTACCATTGTATCATAACTGTTTACAATATTCAGTACATTAACATGCTCTACAGGTTTGTAGCAGAGGAGCAATACACTATACCATATGGCCTAGGTGTATATGGGCTATATAATCTAGTTATATAATTATATAATATAATCTATATAATTGACATGCATTAAAAAAATATGCTAGAGGAACTCTGAAGCAGATAATATTAACAGAAATTATGCAGTATTACAATTTATGAAAGCATTCCTCTATTATTTAAAAGTCTGTTCATTATTCTTTGAACAATTTGCTTCTAAAAAGTGATATTAAGACAAAAGAAACATTTGCTCTGTCTTTCTAACTAGAAGTTCTATGGGAACTTTTTTTTAAAAGGTGGGGGTTTTGTGGGGGGTTTTGTTTGTTTGTCTTATTTTTTTTGTTTGTACCAGGGATTGAACCCAGGGGCCCTAAACCATAGTGTCACATCCCCAAGCCATTTTTTAATTTTTAATTTTGAGACAGGATCTCTTTAAATTGCTCAGGGCCTCAGAAAGTTACCAAGCGTGGCTGGATTTGAGTTTGTGATTCTCCTGCCTTAGTCTCCTATAAAAAGAGGTATCTTAAGGAAATATTAAGGTTTTAAGATAACACTAAGTAAAAGATAATCTAGTTTGTAAACAATAATTTGAAGTCTAAGAAGATATTTCTTAGTTTATGAAACTAATTCCTTTCAGTACCAAAGTAGACCTTTCTTAAACCATGAGGCAAGACATTTACTTGAAGTACAACCAAGGACAACTGGTAAAATTAAAAGTACAAAAAGATTCCCACTCCAGGACTGAAGTAGAAAACCTTACTTCAAAATGTCTTCAGAATCCAATGCTTTGTTAAAACCTTAAAGAAGAAACAAAACAAAACCTCAACTTTTCTACAAAAATAGATCTTGTCAGAATTATACTGGTCCCTTCACAAAAATGTTACTATTAGGAACTGAATTAAGATGGTATTGCTATAAATTGGTCCTATTTATGAAGATCTTTGAGTGTTGTACTGCTGACAACAGAATGTCAGCGTACAGAATGTCAGCGTGGAAGACCTTATCTATAGAAAAGTTAACTTTAGTCAACAGTTAAAAAAAAAAAAAAAGATCATTAGAAAGATTAGAAATAGTATTCTGAAAGTCATTTGAAACAGTATTTTGAGAACTGATATCAACAAGGAAAAACGAAGATTACGTTCTAATTGTGGCCAAGACAATTCTAATATTAATTCCATTGCTGGAAAGAATATAAGAATATGATTAGTATTCTTATAGCAATATAAGTGAAATCATAAGTACTATTTATATATGGCTTAATACTGTGCCTGAGGTTGTTAAATGGTTTCATTTCATGCTACCGAAATGTAAACTCATTTTTAAATAGAAATAAAGGCATTATTTATTATTCCTTCCATCATTTGCTTGGCTGGCTTGGGCTTAACCTTTGAATTCCTTTAAAAAAGAAAAAAAAAAAAAACTCCTTATCTAGAAAGACTTCTTAACTGTTCCCAACCCAGAATAACAGCCCTATCACACACTCCAAAAGAGAGCATTCTGTTCTTTTCCTATCACTCTAGGTAGCACACTTTGTGGAGTTTTGTTAATTGTTTTTCTTTAGACTTTCCCAGTACACTGGAAGCTCTGTAAGAGTAAGGACTATCTGCTACTCCAAAATTGTGCCAGTATTTAATACCTGACCTATAAGTAATAAAAATTTATGAAACAAATGAACTACCTGACCTATAAGTAATAAAAATTTATGAAACAAATGAACTACAATTTTTCTACCCAAGGGACTTTACCAACTTCCTATCTTTAAAATATTTATTTCATTGACTACCATATTCAACGACTACCATAATAACCAACTAATAGTTAAAATTACTTTTAACTACTTGACCTATACCTGAGGGAAACTACATTGAAAAAAGCTTTAATGTTATCCTAGAAACAGGAAAGTAAAGGAAATTGACTCAAGGATGTTATATTTTTATATCATGAATTTTACTATTATTATTTTCTGTTATCCACAATTGAACTATAACCTTTTTTTTTCTAAAAAGTCAATTCTAGGTTAAACTATTACTTAATTACAAAGCTATATTATTGTTTGTATTCTAGATTATCTAGGAATATATAAACCTCAAGAGCAGAATTAAAAATAACTTGTGGCAAATAGATGAGGTGTGATTTGGAAGACACTTGATGAGTAAATTAATACATAAATAAATATAACTAATTATAATTTGTTAGTGATTACTTATAAAGAGTTATTGTAAAAAATGACAAGACTTGTGAAGCACTATTTAAAAGATTTAGAATAAGTTGCAAAAGTAAACAATCTTGGCTGATTTATAAAATCAGACTTAGATCTTTCAATCAGCTTAAAGAAAAGAAATGCTATTTCATCTAAAATATGTAAGACCCTTGAGTGAACATCTAGTTAGATGAAAGCCTATTTATGACTCAATTCACTATATTCCTAACAGTAATGTCTGTATATTAAGAATGGATACACTGACCTAAAAATGATTTTCTGTGTTTCTCATACCACTCACTGGTCAAGATCCTAAATGGATCTTTGGCTTAAAATGAGATGAGTTATGACAAAAATATTCAAGTACCACACTTGTGTATGGAAAAGTATAGTGTCCTGAAGATTTTTATTCCATTTTGTTGGAGTGTGTAAAATGTATTTCTAAGTATGGCTACAATAAAAATATATATATATGAAAGCTATCCTTGTCTATAAACCCCCAATTACTTTTCCCTCAAAACACTGCAAAAATCAGAAATCCTGCACTGCAATTACTCACCAAAATGAAATGTTACTTTAACCCAGGAATAGGTTATGATAGTGTAAGCTTGATATCACAAGCTCTAAAATCAAACTGCTGGAATGAAAATTTCACTACTTCTTGAATGAATCAGGACTTTATTTAAACAGTCTGTGCCTCACTTGTATCTGTAAAATTAGGATAATATCTACTGAGCTGCAATTAAAATAAATACAAATTCCAAACATAGTTTTACTATTAACATCCAAATGAAGGAGTGATGTGACATACATTACAAATAGAAACTTATTAGAGGGTACCTTTGGTGTTACTTTGAAGTGTGTGGGTGGGTAGGAATGCCTACCTTGTATCTTTCTGTCCTACTTGAATTTTATAACATATATAAAGTACTTCTAATATAATGTTTCTAATGCATATAACTTTATTACCTTTATTTTTGAAAATAGCAATAGAAAGTGTCTGAGCAGTGAGACTGTTATCTGTTATCCTGTTTTTGTCTTACATTTCTCTGTTTAACAAAAATAATAAAGTGTTTCGAAAAGAAAATAGTCAACTACTTGCTAAAAATAAATAAATAAGCAATGGTTAGGGAAAAAAAAAAAAAAGCGTGAGGTCCAGAGTTAGGAGTTTGCAGATTTTTCATATTTTACTTATCCAATCTTACTATATCATTTCTGCCCATGAGTAAACTGAGGCAACTGAGTCTTTTACACGACTAACGGCGGTATCCACAAGTTCAAAGCCTGTATTTCTTCTAAATTCACATAATGCAGTCAAATATTATTCTCCCAGTTGTTTCAAACTGACATATTTTGGTCTTCCTAACTGAACTGTAAACTTCTTAAAAGGTTTAAGAGTTTAAAGGTTCCAGAAACTCCACTGAAGGTTACTAAGACTATGATACATCCTTAAACACTTGTTGAGTTACATCAAACTTCTGGTATCGACTCTCCTCGAGGAACAGAACCCTGTTGCAAAAACACAATAAATTAGCACACGCTCTAAAGCCAAATCTAACTTTATTCCTACATTCTCAGAACTGAAAAAGTTTTAAGAATATGCATATCCAGAGATTACGCTACAGGAAGTTTTAGAATAAGTACAAGTATCATCACTATGCAAACACTAAAGAATGGATTCACACATCCCATTCCCACGCCCCCGTCCCCCAGACTCAACCTAAAGAAAGGAAACTCTAGTCTTCCGGTAAGGTATTAAAGAACCATAACCACGCCCACATCTTGTTTCAACTTAATAACCTGTTTTCTTTCTCTAATCGGACCACCGACCCCTCAAGTCCAAACCTGTAATAAACAATTCAAAAGTGTCTGACCTGCAGCGAAGTGCAGGGGAGAAGACTTCCGGCCGGCCATGTCCTTTGCATTTACGTTTGCCGCGTCCACCAGCCTCTTTACCCGGGACACGTCCCCATTGCGACAGGCCTCCAGTAGTTCCCGTAGGGCCCCGCTCACTGCTGGGACCCCTGTCCCAGCTGCCGCTGCCCCAGGCCCCAAAGCTGCAGTGGAACTAACTCCGGACGCGTCGGGGCTCTCAGCCAAGCTTGATCCAGGGGAGGATGGAGAGGAAGATGAGGAAGACGTCGGGGAAGAAGAGGACGACGGAGAATTGTTACTGCCACCGCCGGCTGGGTTGGGAGCGACCCCGACGGCAGATGATGCAGAAGCCGCCGGGACCACGGTAGTTGCGGCGACGGTACAAATTGTGCTGGTGGTATTGCAACAGCTGGTACTCTCAACCGGGTCCGGGGATCTGGGCCTGTCGGGCGGATCCCGACTGCCATCCCCCTCCGGCAGTGCTAGGCCGTGCCGTGGGGAGGCGAAGGGGGCCAGACCACCGGCTGTGGGGGAGGCTGGGGTGGTCCCCGGAGCCAGGCCGGGACTGAGAGGTGGGGGAGGTGGCGGCGGCGGCGCCGAAGCCCCTGGGGCGGGCTGGAGCTGTTGTTGATGATGGTGGTGATGATGCTGAGAGCGACGCGACGCCGCCATCTTCGGACTCCCCCAGCACTGTCACTGCGGCAACGGCCCCACCACCCGCCCTCACTTCCGACTTCTGGGCCAATCAGCATCCGGCACACAGGAAATGATACTAGATGCTGTGGGCGGAGTCAAAGAGAAGGAGGGAAGTATTGGAAGCTCGGGGAACAACCAACGAAGGGGGCGTGGCTCTGTGGCTGAGGGGCGGGCTTTGTGACGCCCTGGCGGGCCGGCTGGACAGATTTGAATGCTGGAATCAACATCTGCCAAAGTGCGAAAGAAACTTCCTGCGTTTCTCACTTTCAGCCTGCCTTCCTTTCTTGCTCTGATTAGTTCCCAAATACTCAGTTATAATTAACTCATTGGAAATTTTTTTAAAATTTAAACTATTTTTTTCCAGCTATCTCCTTTGATCTCTTGTTCCTTTCATACAAATTTTCTCGTTCTGTGTATATATTTTGTTAATCCTCCAGTTCAAAAGTGTCTCGAATGATTTACCAGGATTGTAAATCATTCCTCTCATTCCACTTCCCTCTCCCCTCCCAAATTCAGATAAAATTCTGACTGCTATCACGCACCTTTCAGATGCTATTTTCAACTAAATTTTTTTCTCTCCCTTTAGAAATACTTGTTATATCAGCAAAAGGAATGTGTCATACAGGCGCAGTGGCACAGGCCTGTAGTCACAGCTACAATCTAGGCTGCAGTAGGAAGATGGCAGGTTCAAGGTCAGCCTCTGTAATTTGTGAGAATCTGTATCAAAGTAAAAAAAACTTTAAAAAGGCTGGAATGTAGCACTGATAGCACCTCATATTTAATCCTCAGTACAAACATACACACACACACACACACACACACACACACACACACATACACAAGCATGTGGGGTTGGGGGTGGTGTTACAACAAGCCTGGAGTCTCAGTTTACTCAGTAGGCTTAGGAAGGAGAAGCAAGTTCCAGGCCATCCTGGGCAAACTAGCATGATTCCATCTAAAAAAAAAAAAAAAAAAAAAAAAGGAAGGAAGGAAAAAGATATATCCATGAATGGGATAATCTCAGTGAGATCTCATTTCACACCTCTGTCCAATAGTGAAGTAGGCATTTACTCACTGTAATTAGTGTGATGTTAATATTCTCATTTCAGTAAAAAGTTGAGTTTATTTAGTGCTATCAACTAAATGCAATAGGATCAGAAACATAATATAAGTGGCATTTAATTTTCATCAAATATGGAGTTACAGTATAATTCTAACATTATCCTTTTTTCTTATAAATTTGTGCCATTTGTTTACATTAGATACTTGACAAAAAGTGTGGCTGGATAAGAAAACTCTATAGTGCAACTGAAATCAGGCCACAACACAATTCTCCCAGTTTTGAATCCTCTTTTTATTTTTTCCTTCATAAATGATATTTCAATACATAAGACAACCAAATTTATAAGTCTATATACTTTTCCAGGAAAACATTTAGGCATCATAAACAAATCAATGTGTAAAAATCAAATTTATAAAAATAAACACAACTTATTGTAGGATATGTGGTTATTACTGCACTAATTTTAATTCCTCAGAATGCAGACAAACCCCAGACATATAGAAGCATGACCACACAATGATATCCATAATCTAGGTTGTGCTTAGATTCATAGATTCATTCATAGTTGTTTCCCTTAGATTCATAGATTCATTCTTGAAAGAAGGAGGCAAAAGTCAGTCATTTCATCCCCCTTCAGACCTACAACAGGGCTCCTATTGTTGGTTTATTATTATAAACCCTGAGATATAATAGGATCCACATTTTCCCAAGATTCTGGATTTCTTTTTTCAATGAATATTACAATGGTTTTTCAAAAGGTGTATACAGCAAAAGATGAGGGTCTACTAACTGCAACAATCATGATCAGAACCAAAGGAATAATTCCTTCTTTTTCATCAGAATCTGGAAACTGCTCCTGATAACTTCAGAGTAAAATGCCAAATCGGTGTCATTCTCTTGAATCTTAACTTCTTAATGCAGAGCACTAGATTGCATTGAGGAGTGGGAGGTGAATCAAAATGATATGTGAGTTATCCATAGCACATCTTTTGCCCCCTCATGTATGACCTTCCTGAATGGAAAGCATAGGGATATCTCATCTGGTCCCCTGATGGCTAGTTTACATGTATCAGAAAGAGAAGTAATGTACAAGCTAATTCAGAACACATCTATTGTGTCTGTTCATTAGTACAAAATAAATAAGAAAATCTCTGCTGAGTAGAATAAAAAGACAGAATTGCCTGAAACTATTCTACCAGTAAACCATGTCTGAAAATGCATTCGATCAATTGGAAATTGCTTTTTTCATCCTCAGTGGAGAGTAGTAAAAGTACTTAACATTAAGTATTTATAAGGTTTATAGGTTTATATGGACTAATGGTGAGCTCTACACACAAAAGGGTAAATATCATTACCTTATCTGTGGTTAAATACAATTCCAAGAGGGATGCATTGTATCACAGTGAAAAGAACAAAGCCTGGAGTCAAACAATTGGAGCGTGAATCACATCTCTGACATTTACTAGTTGGCTAATCTTGGTAGATAAACTTCAGCTCTGTCAGTCTAAACTCCTGATTTCATTGGAGCACTGATGTCATGAGGATTAAAAGACCTAGGTAGTTTGTAAGCACTCTTCGAATGTTATTTCTGTTCTCTTAAGTGCTGTACATAAACTGTTAATATACATTATCAATGACTATTGATAATTTTTTTTCTTCCAAAGATAGGGATTTCCGAAGATCGGGATTGGGAGTAAATATCCACCATTTCTCTTGTAACATGAATCTTGAGCAAACAAAGATTTAACTTGTTTCCTCATTTTGATAATTCAGGATTCTTTATAATCTCTGACATCTCTAAGAATTGTTGAAGAATCCAATAAAGTAGCATCTTATCAGATCTTTTAAAATGTGAGCGTATAGCACTCTTCTAGGTCATATTTTTGATGTAGGAAAAAACACCAACTCAAAGGGCACTTACGTTCTGGACTATGTTCTGACGTTTGCTGTTTTTCTCCAAGGAGTCATGAGGACACTCCTTGAAAGTTACACAATCATAAACTTGCACATTTTCCATATTGCAGTTAGACTTAGTGTGGTTATTCCATTTGTATGTATCCCATAGATCTGCCTCAGATCCAAGTTCACTGGTAGTATTTCACATGTAAAGTCCAGTTGCTCTTTGATGCCTTATGCAATGCCTTCTCTGCAAATCCACAAGCACAAGCCAGAACTACATTTTCATCAAGACCATGACATGTCTTCATCTTGGTCTCAGAGGAAGATAATAAATTATTCTTATGTCACAAATTCCCGTGATGCCAAGGACCCAGATTTCTATGTGAAAGTGTTAACTGCTTTTTGCTGAAGTTCCATCCAAAAACCCACATGAATCTTTCCTTGTAAAGCCACAGGTAGGCAACAAGGTCAACAACTAACTAATCACACTAACTACATTGTATCAGAGGAAATTTTGGTAAAAGAAAAAAACAATTTATCACTAGAGAGGAAAGTATTGTAATTCAAAGATCCGCTATGTAAGTTTCTTAGCAACTCTCATTGAAGATGTTAATCACTTTATGAGATATCTCTACATACCAGGGACCTCTACACAAAGCTCCCAAGATATCTGTAAACTTCCCTCTTATAACTTAATTTTTTTCTTGCTAGGTATGGTCTTTACACTTGGGAGTAGTCAGTTCAATGTGAAGTATTAGTTCCCAGCAGAGAGGCAGTATAAAATAGTGGTGAAGAAGGTGGATTCTAGGGCTGGGGATAACGCTCAGTTGGTAGAGTGTTTGCCTTGCATGCACAAGGCCATGGGTTCAATCTCCAGCACCACAAAAGTAAAAAAAGAAGAATGTGGATTCTAGGGCTTGGGTTATAGCTCAGTGGTGGACTGCTTGCCTCATGTGTGAGGCACTAGGTTCAATTCTCAGCACTACATATAAATAAATGAATACAATAAAAGTCCATCAACAAATAAAATATATTAATAAAAGAAAAAGAATGAATACAATAAATACAATGTGGATTCTGCATGCCAATTGCTTGGATATAATTCTTAGCTTTGTTGTTCTGTATATGATTTAAGGACTCCACATGAAGCATTTTAACGGGACGAATAAAATCCTATTTGCTTTGCTTTAAAAATGGTAAACAAGTTTTCACATTAATTTTTTTTCCTTATGAGCATTTTTCCCAAAATTAATTAAATCCATACATGTATACCCCTTTAAGGACTAATATCTGCCCACCTCACTCAAAAAAAAAAAAATACACTCTATTCCCCAAACTCATAAACATGTTTAGAAAAGTTCCAAAAAGTTCTTGAATGCATTTGTAAGAAATGGTATACTTAGTCAACAATGCATATATAATGATGTATGGCTTAGGTGTAGCCAACGAGGGGTTGCAAGTATCATACACTGATCATGAGGTGACTCCTACCCTGGTAAAGATAGGGCAAAACCTGCCAGCAGAGACCATCCAAACTTCTGGATAGACATGAGTGACAGCTGAGGCCAGGAGAAGCATTTGTCAATCCTCAAACAGGTGATCAAGCACACCTTCCACCCACAATCTCCTTTTGCTTCCTGTTTTTACTTGGCTTATTGAAGGAAATAGTGAGTGAAAGCTCTTGGAATCAAAGGGTGTTTGTGTGCAAATTCTCTCATGATTGCCTACTCGGTCACATCCTGAACCTAGGTCTTTGTTTTGATATTGAGTTGCTCAGAAGAAACCACTGTACAATCCCGAGCAAGTCATGTAACTTCTTTGTAATTCCATCTGCAAGGTGGGGATATTAATAGCTGTTATAAAGTAATATGTGCCAAGTGCCTAGAATAGCTTCTAGCATATAGTAAATACTTTATAAATGTCAGCTGTCATTATTAAGAACTGGGGAGACCTCTGGTATGGGACATAGAAAGGTGAACAGAGAGGCATGGCTCATTTTGCCGACCCAACAACATGCAGGTTCCTTTCAATCTAATAATGTTTTTCCCCTCTCACACCTGCT